ACCTCTTACGTCAGATAAAATCATAGGCCTACTTACTGAAAACGTGTGAGAAATTACCGGAGGTAAAAAATACCTGGTACGTCGGAGATTCGAAACCCGTAGTAAAAAATACCTGGACGTTGTGTAGAACATCCTGATTTCAGAGGACTTTCGGGAAAAAAAAAAAAAAAAAAACAGAGTAAGGATGTTGGAGATAAAAAATCATAGGCCTACTTACTGAAAACGTGTGAGAAATTACCGGAGGTAAAAAATACCTGGTACGTCGGTGAAAAAAAAACCGTGTTGAATACTCCGGATTCTGAGAGGTCGTATGGAAAAAAATAAGTACTAGCGCAAAAATTTCCAGAGAATTTCGGCATGTGGGGTAGAACTTTCGACTTGGCGCGGAGCTCGCTAAAGTTAGAGGGGGCTGAGTTACCGAGAGGGACCTTCGGGAATTACTGAGTTACTGAGGCTTCAACTTTCAAGTGATATTTATCCCATAGGTTAAAATTCTACTTTCACGGCGCAATTGTTTCTGCCTCCTGACGAGGCTGGATTCTTCTTGCTCCCGCGGAAACCGGTCCTGTAGAGGGAAGTCGGACTCTTACCCCCACTGTCCATATGGGTGGTGGTTCGACCGCCATAGCTCAGGCTATGGGAAGCTCTTGTTGTTGTTCTTCTTCTTCCTATTTTTATTATTTTGTAAAGAGTTAATATTTTAAGTGCGAGTTATGCACCTGGGCGTGTTGCTTGCTATTCCTCGCAGCGTGCTTGTGTATTTGCGTCGCTGATTTCATTTCAGCGCGTTGGTGTCTTCAGCCTTGGCTTTCCTATCCAATCGGATCCAAACTGACCATATGCACACAAAAGACAGAAATTACGGCCATGTATCTTTCCATGTTTTGGCACGAGATTCACTCTCATTTTGCTTATTTGCTGAGTGGTGCATGAACACTGAGCTGTCGGCTCCGAACTGCCCAAGAAACCGTAGGTGGAGATTGAGAAGAGCACAACAAACGAGGGACTGTGACGGACTGTTTTGTCGGAGTTTCTATATATGTGTATATAATATTAAAATTTCCATAGGGTGTTATCTACGGTATTGTCACTGCAGTGAGGTTTGATCACTGAGTTCACGTCTACAGGATTGTGGTTTGGTTCCATTGGGTCCGATGTACACAGAATCATATTAATAGAGGTTCACCAACAACTTTCTTCTCTGTTTTTTTTTTTTTTTCTCTCTCTCTCTTCTTTTCTTTTTGCTCTTTTTTTTATTGTTAAAAAACGTTTCTCCCCTTTTTGAAAATCTCGAGCAGTTCCTTTCTGGAACGGTGCTGTGCGGGTGTTACTTGGTCAACATGTCTGGATAGATACCTGCTCACCGTGCATTAATCCCATTCCTTTTCCAATGTGGAAACTCCACGTGGTGTTTTGCTTTTTGCGATTTCCGATGGATGCAGAACGAAGACTGTTTCGAAGGATTCACCAGTCAGGTGGGTGAACAACGAACGGCTCCCTCCCTTTATGGATATGATGATTCTGTCTCTCGTCCCTGTGTCTTCGCTTGGGTTCCTTTCTTCCTTTCTTCCGTTCCTCCTTTCTTTCTTTTCTTTTCTTTTCTTTTCTTTTCTTTCTGTGATCCCTTCCCTTCCCTCCCCTCCCCTCCCCCACCCTGTATTGCTGCGCAGCTGTGTGGATAGTGTTGTGTTATCAATTGCAATTTGCTTGTCATTAGATCATGACAACATATGGCAATTATTACACAATGGTGCCAAGTGCAAGCAGATAATAGTGCAACCATTTATTTGTAAAGTTGATGGGGTTCGCGTGCACGTGTGTGTGTGTGTGTGTGTGTGTGTGTGTGTGTGTGTGTGTGTGTGTGTGTGTGTGTGTGTGTGTGTGTGTGTTTCGGCAGGGGGAGTGGGCAGATTTCTTTTGAGGTATGTGGCAGATCTGTGAAGACATCATCTCTCCTGGATGAGAGTCATCTGATGTCCTTATCTAGATTGCTATGTAACCTAGGACAGACAACACAGAAACGTGTTTCCCTTTTATATCTGGAGCACTGCGTCCTCTGTGGTATGTGTGATCTTCCTTCAGCAGCCACTGAGGCTGATACAGTGTGCACGCACATTCTGCAACATTATGAAGTGCAGCATGCTCATCCAAGTTTTCTATATCTGCAGTACTAGTGTTCTTTGGTGCGTGTGATCTTCGTGCAATAATAGGTGCTGATCCCGATAGAGCGCTGAGACAGCGTTGTGTGTCCTCGGTAGATGGAAAATATAGAATGCTTATGCAAGGTGTGTGCCCTCGTGCCCTATTCTGTTGTTTACTATTTCATCACAATTTGATATTTTTTGAACCTGTTAATTATCTCACTGATACAGAGTAATGAGACTGGTACTAGGACAATACACGTGCTGAAGGCGAAGAAACAACCCCCCTTCTCTCTCTCCTCCCCCCTCTCCCCCCCCCCTCCCACTCTCCCTCCAGCAAGAGCCTTGTTGTCTACCCTCTTCTATCTATCCACAATTCTACAGTTATTAAGTGAATGCAGATGTCACTTTGTCCAGACAGAATACATGCACCGTTGTGTCCACTCACTGCAATATGCTCCAGATGGCATTGTGTATGACTATTATTATGTGTGAAAGTTAACACCTGCCTGCCAGAGCCTCTTGCAACAGTCTCCGCTGCATGCCTGATTTCCTCTCTATGCCTCGGTTATTATGTCTTGCATGCTATCCCATTTCTGAGTCTCTGCATCACTCAAGACCCGACAGACATTCACGTAGACCGACTGTGGAGTTTCTGGGCAATCTGGCTTAATCTTGATTAAGTGTTGAAGTTAGACTATGAATGACTGATACAGCTGCCACATCTGGAGCTGGAACCTGTTGGTGTCAAAGGCGCGCCTTTATGTCAAGCTGCTGCAAGTGGTCCCCACCAATATATTTCCTTTTTAAGTGTTAACTACAAATATAAAAAAATAGAACAGCAATAGCTCCTACCGGTAGCCTCCTACATAAACAAATAACTTATCCAATGGGAATGGAAACTCCTCGATCTGTTTACGAACGGTCACATGTGTATGTGCCACATTTCAGCCACACGCCAGGTACTGCCTTCTTCACCGGAATACAACGCACTCATCGTGCTGTCATTTTAGCTGTATGTATTTGGGGTATCTTTCAGTCTAAATGCAGAAATAGTGACCGTATGTTGTATTCGGGTGAAGAAGGTAGGGTAGTCCCTCTGATTGATTGTCGTTTAGCATGACAACAAAGTTTGCAGCTTTGTGTAAAAAATCCTCTCTCTCTCCTTCTCCCCTCCACCTGCTGTTGATGAGAACGATCTCTTGCAGATCGTGTGAGTGGGTGAGTGTCGGAACGTTGATGGCGCTGAGTGCTCTGTGGTATGTGTGTGTTCTTCCTTCACCCGAAAATAATGCCCGGGCGTTGTATACGAATGTAACATCCGCCGGGTGTTATATTCGTTTATAACGCCCGGGAGTTATATTCAGTAAATTGTAGGCAACTTCGGTGGGGGCCTAAAATTCCGGGAAAAAAAAAATCAAAAATTTTAAAATTCTGTAAAAAAATATGCTGTCCAGAATGGCAATGCGACCAACTTATGTAGTACAGAATTCCTTATAAACTCGGGAAAAAAAAATATTAAAAAAAATCAAAACGAAATATGCCCCTTGGAAGTCAAAAACCCTTTCAACCCCCTTTCGAACCCGTGTATACCCCCCCTCCCCAACCTTTCCAACCCATGTATACTATCTCTACAAGGCACTTTTGCCACGGAACATTCAAATATAACGCCCGGGCCTTCTATTCGAAGGGGCGTTCTATTTGAGAAAAAGAGAGTAAAAATAAAAATCTGATCTTTTTAGGGTAAGTTGAATATGACGCCCGGGCCTTCTATTTTCGGGTGAAGACGGAAGCACGGCATGGGATGGCTGATCAATTGGCATCGCAAAACTTGGAATTGCTATCTGCTGCATCTCTTCCCCTCCTCCTCCCCCTCCCCCTTCCCCTCC